ACAGTGTTGTTTAAGTCTGGGGGAGGTGGTTACTGACGTTGTGTGCTTTGTGTCATGTTTATAGAGTCTTAAAGTTGAGTAAAAAACCTGTTTTTATAGAGTCAAAATTTTTGAAACTGTCAGTTTTTCTTGGAACTAACCATAGGACGTTTTTGCTGATAAGAACCATTGCCATAGTAGTTGATTACAAGTCTTACTAAGTTGAAAGTCATAGGTAGATCAGTCTAGCAATGAAGGTTTAGGTTCTTAGAGAATCTGGAAAATTTGCTGTTAGCTCCACCTTAATGAACTTTAAATTTCTTGTCTTGGTGATTGATTCTTATTGATCTTGATTCTCTCTTTCAGCACTGACAATAAGGTTAAGATACAGTCTCTCTTTGATCTTCCCTGATGTAGTTTTAAAAGTTAAAGTCCAAAGAATGGTGCATTCATGACCCTGTCTCCTCACAAGGAACAACAGTAGTGAACACATTCAAGAACCTGTCTCCTCACAAAGAACACAAGTATTGAGTAGCACCATTTCTTAGACTGAAAAAGTTGAGAAAAAAGAAGTGAAAAATCGAAAATATCCTAAGGAAAAAGATTAAGGGAAGAGAAAATAGGAGAGCTGTGTTGAGATTGATTTGTTCAGTTGTTAGGAAGGGAAAAGAATCTGTAAAGTGATTAAGATGGTAGAGCTTTGATGAGACTTCACACTTAGATAAAAATAAGGAGTTGACAGTAGAAATTTCAGATTTCTTGAAGGGATTTGGACTGGACTTGAGAGATTTGCTAAGCTTGTGATAATTAGACTGAAATTTGATCTTGTGTTGACTCTGTGGTATGTGGATTCGAAAGCTTTAACTAGTGTGGTGTTTCTGATGACTAACTGACTGTTTCTTGTTTTCAAACCTCGACCTTATTCTTTGTCTAATGTTTGCTTGAGGGCAAGCAAAAGCTAAGTCTGAGGGAGTTGATATATCATGGTTTTTATGGTTTTTAACCATGATATAAGTCCTTTTTATTGAGTCTTTTTGGTCTTTTTAGAGTCCTAGAAGAGTCTTTGCAGGTTATAGCATGTCTGGAGCATAATTGGAGATTTTAGAGCTTTTTGGAGCATTCTGAGTTGAAGCCACGAAGCACCTAGCTCGAAGAAGAAAGTATGCCATATGGTGACGCTCGTCACCAAGCTGGTGACGCTCGTCACCCACCAAGGAAGGAGGTCGTGGCCTGTTTTTAAAAGATTGGGAAGAAATTGCAGTTTTGGCCCAGAAGTTCCAGTTTTTGCAAAAAGGCTCCAGATCGTGTTTTAGCTTGTATATTAGGTTTTTCAGCCATTCTTTTGGCATATATCTTGTATCTTATTATTTTGGAGAGCTTTAGAGAGAGATTTGTAGAAGAGCTTTTGGAGAGACAAATCAGACTCCTTCAGAGCAGATTTTGAACTCCTTTATTTTTACTTCTTATTTCTTTTATGCAATCTATTCTTTTCATGATGTTTTCTCAAATCACCATGTCTGAGTAGTCTGTTAGTTAAGTTAGGGCTTTTTCAAAGGTTGAAGAAGAGTTTGTAGAATTGCTAAAAACTTATAGGAAATTCATTGGTTCTTCATCTGTGCTTGCATTCATATCGATTTCTTAGACACATCATCTGGATTTCGAAACCCTAGGTTTTTGATAGATGTGAGAGCATTATTAATCACCTGAACTAGTATTAGATGAGCAAAACGCCCTAGTACAAAGAGATTTGGCTTAGGAGTTTTGTGAACAATTGAACCTGATCATTACTGCATGTTTAGGTTGTTAGGGTTTGCAAAGAGATTTGAAACTCTGTGATTTAGACATAGATAGCTTCTGCAATGAGAATTGATTAGTTATATCTTTGCGATTCATGTTCAAGACGGTTTTAATTCATTCCTGATTGCATGCATTCTACATTCTCAGATTCAACCTGCGAACTGTCTTGACTTAGCGCCTTTAGCCTTCTGAACTTTAAGAACAAGCATAAAAACGCCCTCTTGCATTTATTTTACTGTTTTGCATTACATTCATTATTTATCGCTTAGCTTAATCTGAATCTATAATCGCTAGTGTGGTTTACATACTCCCTTGGGATTCGATAACCCCTTGTACTACAACTGCTTTTGCTGTGCACTTGCAGTAGTTTTATTTGGGTAAAACCTGACCCTATCAGTGGGCATATGAGAAAGTTAAAATCTAAATCAGTGTGATCAAGACTAATTTAACAATTCAACCATCAATTAGAGAGGAATATTGTATTAAAAGTATAAGCAATCAAGGATTAAATATAGAACTCCTATAATCTACCCATCAATAACCCTAAAAATGACTACGCACTAATCATAGCCAAAACCAGCAAATGTAGAGAGAAAAAGTGAGCAGGCAAGATTAGAAAGACAAATAAACAAGAAAGATTAAGGAAAGTGCAGAAATTCACTAAACAAAGCAAGATTTTTACAAATTTTACTCAAAAGAGAAAGTTCTTAAGCTTAGAAACAACAAAAGATCAGAAATGCCTAAAAATTAGGTCTTTTACATATTTATAGTATCTTTGGGAGACCCTAGGATGCAGAGACATTTTTGTAATTTTACAGTTTCTCGGATCTCCTAACATCGGGCATGCCCAATGTTGCTGCTCGATGCTTCATGTCCTGTCTCAGAACATCAGACAGATGTGCCTGATGTTCCAGCCTGGGCCAGCCCGATGTTCCAGCCTAGGCCAGCCCGATGTTCCAGCCTGGGCCAGCCCGAAGTTCAAGTCCAGCTCCCACAGGTTTTTACATCGGGCAAGGAGCCCGTTGTCTTCACAACGGTCTCACGTAATTCGTTGTAAGTTTTGAACAGATGATGGGAATGACTTGAAATAAACGCCAGAAGAAAGCTAACTCACGTGGCTACAACTTTCATGAAGATAGCTGAAGCTTAATCAAGACGGAGATCCTTCGTTCTAGCTGGTCTTTCAGTCGCTGTTTCTGGTCGCTTCAACAAGATACATTTTCTCCTTTAGCTTTTAAATGTATTGGCTTGCATCCATGATCATCTACCATGCTCCCCATAGTCTCCAAACACTCCAGGAATACCTGCCACTCTCTTCAAATGCACAAAACATGCAATGCTTATCCTAAACTTACTTTAAGTCCTAAATAGATGCAAATGAGTCAAGAACAAGTGAAAAATGCATGCTTCAAGACTAAAAACTAATACTAAATATATGCTAAAATGATATAAATATAAAGTATATTACTATATCTGGTGAATTGGTCGTTCATTGCGATTGAGCTTCTTTGGTGGTAGCTAGAATCGAAGTTCTCAGCTACAAAATAAGCTAAAGACGTGTTGTAAGTAAATTTCTCAGTTGATTTTCGTGTTTTCCATACCTGGACTGCAAAAATAGACTTCTGATACTAGAATTCATTTGTCAATGCACATGTTAGTTTTGCAATTGACTGCGTGTACCGGTTTCTAAAAGTAGAATTCAGTTAAAGTCTACACCATTTCCTTTGAGAACAAAAAAATTGCGCAGACCTCAAAAAGAGACTTCTTTAGAAGGAGATCACTTTTGCAATTGACCAAGAAGAAATAATTTTTTAGCGAAGTCTGCTCTTAAAGTCTATTCTAGAAGCAGATCACTTTTGCAATTGACCAATCTTTGACTTTTTGGAGTAGGTTTCTTTTGTCATCTACTGAGCTTCTTTTGGGGTGATGAAAAGTTGAATAAAAAGTAGAATTCATATGAAGTTTATTCAATGTTTGGTCAATCCTAAAACTAATCTATAGCAGAAGACGAAAGTAGTTTACTCAAAAGTAGACTTCACATGAAGTTTTTTTTGAAAAGTCAAACTTGGTCAATTGCAAAACTGACATGTAGGTTTCTCTAAGAAGTCTTTTTGTTTTTTACAAAGTTTACTCAGAAAAAATCAAAATTTGGTCAATTGCAAAATTGATCTATCTGAAGTCTGTTTTTGGAGTCTACATAAATAGACTTTGTTTGCAGATTTCTTCAGGATAAAACTATCGTTGTAACTTATGTTTTTTATTTGGAAATAATGGAGAGAGTTGTAATTTTAATATTCTTAAGAATTATTTTTGCCAAACATGCAATATAAAATCTAGACTTATAGAAAAAATCAAGTTTTAGGTCATTTTAGCAATTATTCTATTATTTTTTTTACTTTATCAACAAGTATCTTATATTTTAATTTTAATTTTATATTTTTTATGAGTGTTAAGAAAATGGTCAACTAATTATTTATAAAAAAAAATAATTTGTGTAGTATATATCAATTAATATTCCTTTTATTTTTAAAAGAAAAATATTTTAGAAAAAATTACAAATATCAAGAAAATATATTATAAATTGATTATAAATATATTATTATTTTGTGTGATTAAAAATCTAATAAGGTTTAGCCAATAGTGATTTAATAAATTCAATTGGTTTTCTTGAAAATTACAATTTATTATCATTAATTAATATAAAATGTATCGAAAACAGAAAAAATTCATCTTCTTGAACAATTTTTTTTTCCAAAACATCTTTTTTTAATAAGAGAGAGAGTAGTTGATAACATAATTCTTTTAAATCTGTTGTTTCAGGCTTCCTAACAATACAAAGACTTACTTTTAAAATTATAATATATGATAATGTGCCTAAGCGATGGTTTAGTTTTGCTTGCACCACAGACGAGACAACTTAACATTTACGTTTGGCCAACTAGCAAACGTGAAAATCATAAACTTGTCATGTAGGCTTCAAAATCCCTATGAACTGGGATGGGGATTTCCACGTTTCACCCGAATTTTAATTAAAACGGGAGAATGAGTCGTTGCTTCAGAGATCAATTTTATGCCGCAATTAGAATACTAATAATCGATTCTTACAATAGCTTGAAGATGGATTTTCCTAGCTATTTCGCAAAAGCAATATTAAGAGATACGGCGCCTATGCGTATCCCTTTCTTTAAATAAAATCATATGCGTTGTTTCTATAATCGAGTTCTAGGACATCACGTACGCATTATATATACTTATATAGACGTGTTGCAAATTTGTTTTTAACTAACCATTTCGAAACACATATATACAACAACAAGAACAAAAAAATTTTGCAAGAAAGCTCCTTCCATGGCGGATTCAAGCTCTTTTCTCCCTCCTCTTTGCGAAAGGATTTCATACAAAAGCTATGTTTTAAGCGCTGTGGTTCTCACGATTCTTGGCCTTCTCTTTTCACTTCTCTTGTACCGGATTCTATATATGAACCAATACGACACAGTTTGGGTCGTGGCTTTTCTCTGTGAAGCTTGTTACTCTTTCATGTGGCTGCTTTTTACCAACGTAATATGGAGTCCTGCTAAACATAAATCTTATCCAGATAGACTTGATGAAAGGTAATGTTTTCATTTACAGGCGATTATATTTACAAACATGTACATTAAAAGCATGTATTATTTACTTCTTCCGTTTTAGAAAAATGTCATTTTAAGTTTTTGTTTCTGTTTTACAAAAAGTGCCACTCTATATTACCAATACTATTTTTTTAATAAAAATCCAATTTTAATCTTGTTATATTAATATATTAATTAAAAAAGAAATGGTTTATTATATTTATAAAGGATATAAGAGAGTTTTCAATAGTTTTTTTTAATTTGTATGAAATATAGTAGAATGCCATTTTTTTAAAACAGAAAGAATATTATTCCCCCGTTTCAAAATAAGTGTCATTCTAAAATTTTATTTTTGTTTCACAAAAAGTGTCACTTTATATTTTCAATGCATTATTTTGAATAAATATCCAGTTTTAACCTTTGACTTTTATTATATTAATTAAAAAGAGAATGTTATTTTGTATGTGAACAAATGATAAAACAAAACTTTTAATCATTTTCTTAATTTGTGTGAAAAGTGTCAAAGTGACACTTATTTTGAAACGGAGAAAGTAATTAATAGCAAGCTGCTACCTAGCTCTTAGTTAATATCTCACGAAATACTATTCGTTTGTATGTTTTTTTTTTTGTACTTTTGTTTAAACTGTGTAGCAAACATTTTTAAAACAAGCTTTTTATGAACTAGCCTACTAATCATTATTTGCAGGGTTCAAGAGCTTCCTTCAGTAGATATATTTGTGACAACGGCGGATCCGGTCAAGGAGCCATCGATTCTAGTTGTAAACACCGTGCTTTCGCTGTTAGCTCTGAATTATCCGGCAAACAAATTGGCATGTTATGTGTCAGACGATGGATGCTCACCTCTCACTTACTTTTCTCTCAAGGAAGCTTTAAAGTTCGCCAATATTTGGGTTCCTTTCTGCAAGAAATACAACGTTAAAGTTAGAGCTCCCTTTAGATATTTCTTGGACTCTCTCGACACTTCAATGGGTTTTGAATTCACTAAAGATTGGGAAATGATGAAGGTAATTAATGATTTCAATTGCTGGCTGTTTTAGCATTTATGTTTATGATTTTTTGTTGGTAGCAATAGTGGGAAATGAAAATGTTTTTGGCTTTTGATTGACTTTGTTTTTGGCTTTTAAGAAACCTTGTTAGCTTTTACTTTGAAATGCGAGAAAGCACAACATGCAGTTGACTCTATATTAATCAAACAAAATCTGAAAGTTACATCAAAATTAAAGTGTTCTTTAAAATGTTTATTGTATTATTACATAGAGGGAGTACGAGAAGCTAAGCCAGAAAGTTGAAGATGCCACCAGAGATTCCAATTGGTTAGATTCAGACAATGATTTTGAAGCTTTCTCAAGCACAAAACCAACCGATCATTCAACTATAGTAAAGGTATTTTTTACAAATAAATCATCAGCTTTTTTTTTCTATCTATATAAGTAATGTTATCAACATAACAAAAACTATAAAATAAGGGATCAAGTATTTGACGGTATAAGACCACCTCTATCCATGTTCATTAAGAGAATTTCTATAAATATATTTTAAAAATAAGTAGTAATATAATATTGTATGGGGTTTTTAATATTAAAAAACTAACCCTCCAAAATTTCTTAAACAAGATATTTTAGAACTTTTTTTCATTTAAAAACTCTTATAATTATTTATTTATATTTCTTCTACTAAGAGCTCTATTTTAAAAATCCCATAATTACCTCAATGGTGGAGGTGCTATAAGAGTATAAAGAGTCGTCAGTTCGATTCTATATGGGAAGGATGATTTACGCTTTGAACATAGTATTATTAGTATAATTGACCAAGGTTTATTAAAAAAATGTCAAAAAATGTAATATTTATATGTATATATTTATATATAATAAATGTGTATGTGAAGGTAATATGGGAGAACAAGGGTGGTGTGGGAGACGAGAAAGAGGTCCCTCATCTTGTATACATTTCAAGAGAGAAAAGACCAAATTACTTTCATCACTACAAAGCTGGAGCCATGAACTTTCTGGTTAATAATTTTTACTCACACATCTCTCTCTTTTTCTTTTAATTCAAAGTTTGAAAGTAATTAAGTGCATAAGTTAATCCGTTTAATGAAATTAGTCTACACGTATATATATATATACTAGATTGGGTTCTGCATATACATGAGATTATAATATAATACCAAAAACAAAATTAGATCATTCTTTAAATTAAATTAAATAACACTGGAAACGTAGATATGATGCAAATCACCCATTGATAAATAAATATAATAAAATAATATTGATTTATTTTCATTTTTTATTGTTTGATTTACGGTTATTTTTTTGTCACTTCATGTTGAGTTAAAATTACACATGTAATTTAGTTTTTCCAAATATCTAATAAATTGATTCTCATATTTGTATGTGAAATATACTTTTTTAATCATATTTTGTTTTCTCTTCTAAATCGATATCAAAAATTATTATCTTGTCCTATTCCTTTTTTATTTTATCTAATTGGAAAAAAAATTACATGTATAATGTTAATTCAACTCTGAAGTGAAGGAAAAAACTTAAAAAAACACCTGTAGAGAAGCCTAATATTGTAAAGTTGTTTTTTTTTTTCTTGTTTTTTTTCTTCTATCATTTGTGTTTCAGTTATTCCTTTTTCGGCCTTCAGTTATATATATTGTGTCACATGTTTACATGATCTTTAGTTTTTTTATTCATATTTCATTGATATTTAATTTTGCTTTTCTTATTCAGTTATTCATATTTTTTTTTCTCTAAGATGAATTGATTATCATATCTCTCTCTCTCTCTATATATATATGATTGCAAAGAGAATTAAACACGTTTGAGTGTACCATGACGCCAATGTTCCATGTGACATTCCTCATTAACTTTTGGAATGAAACCATATGCATTATTGTAGCTATATGCCTATTAATTAGTTTTTTTTTCCCTCTGTGTTAGTAAAGCTTTACATGTAAAACTAAAGAAATATGGTGATATTTACATTATTTTAAAATGTGATACATATCTGATTCAATAGCCTATTACTTTGCGAATTTCTTATTTGTTAAATAGTACATTGAAAATTGATACATCATATGAAAACATGCCAAGCCATATGATTGTAGATCTTAGTAATAAAATTAGTCTTTTGTTGTTGCTTTAATAATAAAATTATATATATGATATGATTATTTGACCAGGTAAGAGTGTCGGGGTTGATGACAAATGCACCATATATGCTGAATGTAGACTGTGATATGTATGCAAATGAAGCGGATGTGGTGCGGCAAGCAATGTGTATATTTTTGGAAGAATCAACGAATCCAAACCACTGTGCTTTTGTTCAATGCCGCCACGATTTCTATGATAACAAATCCAATGAACTCATCAACATGGAACCAGTGCGATTTCTTTGTTACTTTTTACTTATGGTTTTGACTAGTTCGATCTTACATATACATCAATTAGTACTTAATCATTGGTTTCTTTCTTTTAATTTGTGGAAATTAGCATGTGATACTAGGAATTGCGGGAATCCAAGGGCCGTTTTACTATGGGACAGGATGTTTCCACACTAGAAGAGTTATCTACGGTTTATCTCCGGACGATTTAGGAGATGATGAAAGTCTTGCTTCAGCTGCTACAAGTAAGTATACTGGCAAAATCAAAACATTATTCATGGCTCCACTTCACAGTGTTACATAATTATACTATTCATATATAAAACAAAACATTAATCACACGGATCATGTTGATATTTCATTCAGGGAAGCTTTCAACTGAAGAGAGTTTAGTGAGAGAATTTGGGAATTCTAAAGAGATGGTGAAATCGGTGGTTGGGGCGTTACAAAGACATTTATATACCCAAAGAATATGTACAAACTCCATAGAAGCGGCCAAAGAAGTTGGAAATATTCATTATGAACATCAAACCAATTGGGGCAAAACCGTAATTCCTTCTAAATTTAATCACTAATCGTTTTTTTAAACAGAATTTTAGTTAAAAAAAAGTTCACGTATTAGCATATTCACTTTAAACCACCAACTAAATTACTAACAAAAAGAAAACCCTTGTAAACGAAATTAAGCCACCCCTCTACCAAAAATCTTAAATATCATATATTTGCAATTTGGGGTTAGAACGACATAATTTTCTCAGTCACAGTGACTAATACTATACACTGTATCCCGAACATGCCGTTTACTGTTTCATTGTATTAAAACAAAAAAAATAACAGTATTTTACGCAGTGATAATATACATGTTTTTCGGTTACAAAATAAATTATGGACATTTTTAGTCATGATGATGCATTGTAATATATATATCATGCAGGTTGGTTGGTTATACGATTCACTATCGGAAGACCTGAACACGTGTACCAGAATCCATTCAAGAGGATGGACTAGCTCATCCATTTATATGGATCCCCCGGCTTTTCGAGGTTGTATGCCGCCTGTAGGTGTAGAGGCGTTTCCCCAGATGCGGCGATGGATGACAGGTTCGATGGAAGTCTTCTTCAACAAACAAAGTCCGTTGATCGGAATGTTTCAACAAAAATTAAAATTCCGACAACGATTGGCTTATCTTGCTGCTTCCATGTCGTGTCTAAGCCCACTCTCAATGCTCTTGTACTGTCCCTTGCCCGCTTATAGCTTACTTCACAATACTATCTTATTTCCCAAGGTACCCAAAATCTCTCTCTCGCCCTCTCTGTTCTATTTAGTTTCATATATAAGAAAAAAACAAATCATCTTTTCATATTTTGTGTGTTTATTCTCTGATATATTTTCCAAAGAAAATAATGCTTTAATATTTTTGTGTATTGCTATAGGGAATTTCTTTAGGCATAATTATCACACTTTTGGGGATGCATTTTCTTTACACTCTATGGGAATTTATGACGAGTCCTGGTCTTTCCATAGAATCATGGTATGTTCCCATGAGCAGTTCGTTATTTAGCGTCTTTGATATAACACTCAAGCTTCTTGGTATCTCGAGAACTGTCTTCATAGTCACCAAAAAAACTGTGCCCGAGACTAAGTCAGGATCTGGAGATGCACCATCTCATCTGAAAGATAATGGTATGAAACCGGATTCAGGTAATTCTGAATTCGTTGGCTCGCTCTTTTTCTTGCCTGGCACATTCATTTTGTTGGTGAATCTAGCCGCTTTAGCTGATTTTTGGATGGGCCTAAGAATGAGGAGTCGTAGTGGCAAAGAAGGTGGCTCGGGTTTGGAAGAGGTTTGTGGATGCATTTTTGTGGCTATATCGTTCCTTCCATTTCTAAAGGGTTTATTTTTGAAGGGAAAATATGGTATTCCATTGTCTACTCTTTCTAAAGCTGCCTTTTTAGCAGTTTTATTTGTTGTTTTCTCTCTGGGAAATTAAAGTAATGTCGTGATATTGTAATGCAACTAAATTAAGTTTACTATGGCATTGTTTTAATTAATATATTATATATATGCATTTCGTTCCGAGTCCAGTTAGTTTCTTGATCATTGTATATATAATTTTTTACGTGCAAAATATTTTGAAATATTTTCTCAAACTATTGTTATATTGATATAATACAATTTTTGTTGTAACTTGTTTTTAACGAAATGATGTGATAAGCTTCATCAAACTTACTACTGTAAAAGAAAGAAGAATGTGACTGCAGAAAAAACTGGTCAACATGAAAGCAAGAAGAGAATTAAAAGCTGATGTAGCAGCTGAGTCAGCCGAAGGAGAGGATAAAGTATAAAGCAGAAAAGCAAACATCGTATAAATAGAGAAATGTTAGAAAATATGTGATTATTCATCACATAATCTCCATAAATATACAAGTGTCACCAAGTGCCAACATCTCAAGTGATTACTCATAATCTTAAATGATTAGTAATCACTTATGTGTCATCATTTCCATTGTTCTTGTTCTTATAAATAAGTGATTGTAATGTTAACTGTAATCATAAGTGAATGAGAAGCAAATCTCTTACCAAAATTCTTGTCTACTTTTACAATATAAACTAATGCTTCTACTTACTTATTTTCCTAATACACCAACTAATACCATAGTTCATTATACAGAAAAGTATATTATTTCATAACAAGAAAGAGATTACTTTGTTTTGTGTTTTATCCAGAAAATTACTTTGTTAAAAATTACGCGTGTGCATTCTTCTGATCGTATATGATCAAGATCGAGTTCGTATGTGAATGAGATCGTCATTGTAATTCGAGGGACAAATTCATTCTTTCAATAAAATCTTCTTTTTGTGAGAGTTTACATAGTAAAATCTTAACATTGGTGCGGTAAAACTGTTTCGAATACAACGGGACAGAAGAGGAGGATTTCAGCAATCAGAGTTATCAGATCTACATTCATGACGACTTCACAACATACATTTGATAAGGCAACAGGAGAAGCAATGACAATGTCAAACCCTAACTTGGCGAGCGGATCTCAATTCAATGAGGAAGATGATATCATGGAGAGTGAAATGAGTCTTCGCTTTCTCAAAGGCGCTTACAAGAGATTAAATGTCTCTAAAAGGGAGACGGAGTCACGATTTTTGAAGATTGATGGCAAGTTAGTGCAATTAGATGGCAAAATGTCTGATATCGACGGTAAAATGGACTCGATCTTGGAGATGTTGAAGCAGTCCGCCGAGAGCAATGGTCAGAACACGGAAATACCTAGATCGGCTCCGACGTTTTCTCGTGAACAGAATCAGGTACACGACACTAATCTGGAACAAAACCGGGGAAAACAACAACTAGGTTATCGATCTGGGAATTTAAATTTAGCAACTCGTGAGAGTATGTTGCAGAAAGTTGAGATACCAGGTTTCTCCGGAAAACATCCATATATATAGATACAGGATGTTGAAAGGTTCTTCACGATTGGCCGTTATGACGATGATGAGAAGCTAGAAATGGTTGCGCTGAGTTTAGAAGGCAGAGTTAAGAAATGGTTTGCTTGGGAGCTAAAGAGGAAGGGTTTTACAAGCTGGTTGGATTTTAAGAACAAACTTGCATTGAGGTTCTCAGAATCACTTGAAGAGGATCCGACAATTCGTTTATTCTCCATTAAACAAACAGGATCGATCACAGATTATATCTCAGAGTTTGAGGAGTTATCTAAACTCGTTGATGGGATTGATGTTGACCACTTGACAAAAAATTTCTACAACGGGTTAAACCAAGAAATGAAGGAGGTCATATGGATGAAAGAATCAATAGTGTTGGAGAATCACATTGCTGCAGTCTTAAGAATGGAGTCGAGTACATTCTGCAAGGTGGTTAGTAATGCTGCGAAGGGAGAGGTGCGAAATCAGAAACAGTATGTAGCATTCCCATTGAGATCATTATCAGCTTACAATGAGCAACGTGTCAGTATTCCTTCAGAAACAAAAGGAGGATCACACAGTACGCATCAGTCAAGTCAAAATCAGGAAAGAAAGACGAATGGTGCTCAGTTCAGAGGCAATGAGAGTCAGCCTACATAGAAGTATACGCCTGAGGAATTGGACCAGATGAGAAAGGATATAATTTGTTTTAAATGTGGTGCCAAAGGTTGGACAAGAGCTTATAGATGTGGGAATAGAGAGCTCCGTATTATCACAGTGGTGAATGGTTTAGAGATTGAGGTTATAGATGATTGTGATGAGAGTGACGAAGAAGAAGTTTTCTTAGAAGCAGTGCAAGAGTTGAGAGTGTTGTCACTCAGCTCATTCTTGGGAATACACTCACCAAAGACAACAAGGCTTTATGGGAAGATCAATAAAACCAATATCATTGTTATGATCGACAGCGGTGCTTCCAACAATTTCATTAAACCAGGGATAGTACAAAGGCTTAAGCTGAAGATATATGCAGAGCATAGCCTAGACATTCTCCTTGGCAATGGAGTCACAGTTCAAGGGACAGGGATTTGTGAATTTGTGATTTTCTAGTTATCAGATGTCTCTTTTACATCTGATTTCATATCATTGGAGCTGGGAATGGTTGATGTGATTCTAGGAGTTCAGTGGCTTGAAACATTAGAGAGATGCGAAGTAGACTGGAAGCAGCAAGAAATATCGTTCAACTATGAAGGCAAACGAGTCACAATACTTGGTGATCCATCCCTGTATAATTCAAAGTTCTCAATGAAATCGTTATCCCTTGTTTCAGCTTTGAGTACGAAAGGAAGGGCATAACTTTCTCACCTTAGCGAGATAACCACTTCTTCCCCGAGGATTCCAGATATGATAGTACAATTACTGGAGGAATTTGCTCACATCTTTGCTCTTCCGACAGGTCTTCCACTAATCAGGGGCAATGAACATGCTATTAACTTGATCCCAGAAGTTACAACAGTATCAGTTCGGCCCTATCGTTATCTGCATGCTACCAAAATCGTGATGGAGAAAATGGTCCAAGAAATGTTAGAATCGGGTATTATAAGACCAAGTACAAGCCCATTTTCTAGTCATGTGTTGCTAGTGAAGAAAAAAGATCCATCATGGTGGTTCTGTGTGGACTATAGAGCTTTGAATCAAGCCACAATACCTGACAAGTTTCCTATACCAGTCATTGATCAGTTATTAGATGAGCTCAATGGCGCCAAAATATTCTCCAAGTTGGACTTACAATCAGGATACCATCAAATAAGGATGGAAGAATTGGACATTACTAAGACTGCTTTCCGTACGGTGGAGGGTCACTATGAATTCTTAGTCATGCCTTTCGGGTTGACTAATACCCCAAAAACTTTTCAAGCACTGATGAACAAAATATTCAGACCCTTTCTACGTGAGTTTGTCTTGGTGTTCTTTGACGACGTGTTGGTATACAGTCGGAGTATTGAAGACCACAAGACACATTTGGAAATTGTGCTTCGCATTTTTGAGCAACAGAAAATTCTGGCAAACAAGAAGAAGTGTTTGTTTGGCCAATCCCAAGTAGAATATTTGGGACATATTATCTCCGAGGAAGGCGTAGCTATAAATTCTCTGAAAACAGATGCGATGCGAGGTTGGCCCACTCCCAAGACTATAAAACAGTTGAGAGGCTTCTTGGGATTGACATGGTACTATAGATGCTTTGTCAGGAATTACGGCTTGATAGCAAAACCACTCACCGAACTGTTGAAAAAAGATAAGTTCAAGTGGTCAACAGAAGCTCAGCAAGCTTTCGAGAAGCTACATCATGCGATGGTTTCAGCACCGGTGTTGGTCTTACCAGATTTCAGTAAAAAGTTTATAGTGGAATCAGACGCATCAGGCTTTGACGTAGGAGCAGTGTTAATTCAAGATAAGAGACCTATTACATTCTTTAGTCACAGTCTTACAGCAAGGGAACAACTCAAGCCAGCCTACGAGCGTGAACTCATGGCAATAGTAATGGCTGTCCAGAAGTGGAAGCATTATTTGTTGGGAAGACGTTTTGTAGTGCATACAAACCAGAGGAGTCTGAAATTCTTGTTGGAACAGAAAGAGGTGAATATGGAATACCAGAAGTGGTTAACAAAGCTGTTGGGTTATGATTTTGAAATCATTTACAAGCCAGGTTGTGAGAATAAAGTTGCCGCTGGGCTATCTAGAATAGAAACCAACTCGAGGGGCGAGTTAAACTTTTTGTTGTTGGCTTTGACGATTCCATCGGTCATACAACTACAAGAGTTGTACAAAGAAATCAGTGAGGCTACTGAAATTCAAAGTTTGATACAACAGGTTTTACAGAATCAGTTGCAGAACAGACATTACACAGTCATAGACGGGAAACTCTGGTACAAAAAGAGACCAGTGATTCCAAAATCTTCAATGTTTATTCCTTTGATACTTCACGAGTGTCATGACGGTCATGTGGGAGGACATTCAGGAGTGTTAAAGACCGTTAAGAGGATACAAACATTGTTTCGTTGGGAGGGTTTACAGAAAACAGTTCAACAGCATGTTGTAGAGTGTGAGGTGTGTCAGACACACAAATATTCGACTATGTCACCTGCAGGGTTACTCCAACCACTATCGATACCTTAGAGAGTATGGGAAGACATGTCCATGGATTTTGTTGAAGGACTACCAACATCTCACGGCATCAACGTTATTTTAGTGGTCGTGGATCGCTTAAGTAAATACGGTCATTTCATTGGCTTAAAACATCCATTTTCAGCAGTGGATGTCGCTCAGAAGTTCATGACAGAGATAGTGAAACTTCACGGTTTTCCCAACTCCATTGTCTCAGACCATGACAAAATCTTCCTGGACAACTTCTGGAAAGAGCTATTTCGTCTCTCTGGAACTAAACTGAGGTATAGCACAGCTTTTCATCCGCAGACGGATGGTCAAACAGAGGTCCTCAATCGCTGTGTTGAGACTTATCTCCGTTGCTTTGCTTCAGGACATCCACAAAAATGGTACAAATTCTTGGCGTGGGCGGAACTTTGGTACAACACATCATTTCACACTTCACTAAAGACTACGCCCTTTAAGGTGTTTTATGGAAGAGAACCTCCGGCAATAGTACAATTTGAGACAGGTTCCACAACAAACTTTGAGC